TGTACGAACCCGGTGAAATGGTACTGTTATTATTTCCATTTTAGAGATGGGGGCACGGAGGCTCACCTTCCTCAATTAGCAAGTGGCTGAGCCCAGCTGGATTTGAACCAGGGTCAAAGCCCACTTGGTTAACCCCTGGGCTATGGCAGGGAGTTATGACACGCCCCCCAAGTGTGACTGACCTTCTCTTCCCGTGTCTCTGTGTCCTCTCTTGGCACTTCAATTCAACGAATGTTAACTGAGGTATGCAGGGCTTGCAAGGGACAGGAGATGAATAATGCATAGTGGCTGTCCTGTCCTCTGTGTCTACCAACACCAGCCCCGACTTGTCCTGCTTCGGTCCCACCTCATCCGTGTGTCTGACATTCTTTTGCTCCACCTCTACAGGCTTTGTCCATCTTGCCCCCTATCTGGTGTCTGAAGTTCCTCCAGCAATGCCTTTGTCCTTGGCCCACCTGTTTCTAACTCTGCCTTTGGCCCTGCAGGGTGATGGCCAGCATGTGACAAAGGCAGGTGATGACATTTTGCCAACTGCAGCTCCCTGTCACCATCTTCCCCACACCTTCACTCCTTCCAAGCCCCTCCTCTAGGACAGTAGGGCATGGGAGGGCATTCTCTACTGGCCCTGGTGGGGGGAGGGGGGTGCAGCAGAAATAGGAGAGGTTTGGGCTCTAAACAGTAACCTATTGATTTGGCATTATGGGGCTGGCATGACCAGCTGGAGAGGCCCTTATCTTGGAGAAGCTTCTTCTTGCAGACAAGATAGGCCTTGGGTTCAAAGATTTATTCATTGAATGAGAAATATAATAAGGTCAGATATTAATAAAAGTAGTGGTTAAAATTGTTAGAGTCCCTTTGCAGCTCCAAAGCCTGAGTCTGAAGTTGTCACAAATAGACGAGGCTTTGGCATCTTGCCCTAGTGGCCTCCCACTGGTCAGATTTTGGCACTGGGGAGGGTGGGAGTTCCCAAGTTCCCCCTTCTTTTACCCCCACCCCCTTACCCATTAGGCTCTGCCCCAGGTCATGAAGACCCCACTTAGTTTTAATCAAGTTTTGGGAGAGAGTTGTGTGGGGTAATACAGGATGCTTCCCTGGAGGTGGACAGCGCCAGGTGGGCTGGGATGAGGGGGAGTTCGGGAAAGGCATGGGAGGGGGAGTTAAGTGATGACATGCAAAGGGCAGGGGTAGCGGGCTGTGCGAGGGAGAGGGGAACAGAGCAAGGAGGGGAGTTCCCAAGCACGTCCCTCCCACCGGAGGCGGCTCCAGCGGCTCCCTTCCCCGAGAGGGCAGATGCTATTAGCCCTCAAAGTGTTGATCATTTCTGGAAACCAAGCATTGCAGAGTCTCCCTGTTATTTCGGGGCTGGTCCTTCTCTTGGAACTTTTCCCAATTGTGTTGAGTGGGGGTCTCCCCAAACTCAAGCCGAGTCTTCCTGTGGGCTGCTGCTGCCACCTAGTGTCTAATCTCCGCTTCTGCTTCGGCAGCCATACGCCTGCAGGATGGCTGTGAGCTCCAAGGGGAAGGAGACTTGAGGGAGAGGACACAAGTTCTGGAAGAGCGTGCATCACGCAAATCACTTTTGTTTTAGTATAAGCAGAAGGTGGTATAGCTAGGCCCTAGGAAAATATGAGAGTCTAGAGATGACGTTGTGGGGCCTAAGGTTAGAGGCCATGTGGAACAGGAACCAGGCAGACCAGGTCCTGATCCTGCTTTTCCTTAATGTGTGTCCTTAACCTGCCTCAGTTTCCCTGTGTGTAAAATAGAGGCAGAGCTGTTGAGAAGCTTAACTGAACACATGGATGGGGAAGCATTTTAAAAGCCGGTAGGGGCCTGGTGAGGGATTATTGAGTCATAAGAATAATAATGACAATGACCGACAGGCTCCTGAGGCTCACAAATGAAGTGAGCCTTGGGTGGGGACAGGCTGCCCTCCCTGAATGTGAAAGTTCTGGGGCTGGCCCCACTCTTGGGGCTGCCTCCAAGAGGGGTGGATGGCTAGAGAATTGTTCAGCCTAGTCCACGGAAGGGGAGATGGAGGCCTAGAGAGGTTACAGGCCTATCCTAAGCCACTGAGCTGCAGCGCTAGGAACAAGAGGCCCATTGGAATGGAGCCAGTATGGCCCTGGTTTTCCCCTTCTCTGGATGGGAACAACTCAGAGCTGAGGCTCAAGAAACCTTGGAGGCAGGAAGCCCCCTCCTTGTGGTACAGTGAGGACTAAGGCCCCCAGGCCCCCATTAGCCCTCCTCCTGGGCCGGCCCCCCCCCCTCCCCCGTGCAAGTCCTCCCAACATTCCTCCAGGCAACAGGAAACCCCAGCTGCAGCCCAGACTTCAAACAGCTCCTCCCTCTGGGGCAGGGGGTGTGGGAGGAGAGGCCAGAGGCCAGAGGGCAAAGGTCAGCTTTGTTCCTGCCAGAGGTGGTGAGGGACCTGGGAAGACAGAGGGGGGCAGGGTAGGGCCCTTGACAGCCACACTGCGTGTGTGCGTGTGTGCGTGTGTGTGTGTGTGTGTGTGTGTGTGTGTGAATTTCTGTGTCCTTCAGGGTGTGTGTGGGTCTCACTGTCCACCTATGTCTGGAGGTAAATATGGGTCCTCAGTTTACTTTCCACTCATGGACCTGATTTATGTGTCTGAGCATGTATCAGTACATGTGTGCTTGTCTGTGAGCGCTCAGCCTGGGATCCCACTGACATGTCTGCAGATGTCATCACTGGTATTGATATGTCTGGGTAACAGGCCTGGTCAAAGCTGTGTGTCCTTCTGTGAGTGTGACCTGGTGTGGTTTTTTGTGTCCAAGAGATGTTTTCTTCTTCTACCTCTTCCCCTCCCATCTTTCTTCCATGTTGGTCACCAGAGGGTTCCTTCCGAGAAGTGAATCTGACCTTGTTACTCCCCGCTCAAAACCCTTCAGTGGCTTCCCATTGCCCACGGCTTAGAACCCCAGCCAGCCCGAGTGCATGGCAGACAAGACCCACACCTACCTCACCATCTTCATCTTCGTCCACTCCGGTGACATCTACCTACTTGTAACTCCCTGCACAGTCCCATTTCCTGCCTGTGAACTCACTTAATTCTGTCCAGTCTGGAATACCTTTTTCTTGCTTCTTTACCAAGCAAACTCTTACTCTTTTTTGACTCTGGTGAAGCAACACCTCCTCTGAGAAGACTTCTAGACTTGCCCCTGCTCAGTTGAGTTAGGACCCTCCCCTGTTCTCCCAAATACCCTTTATTGTCATTTAAACTGTGAGCTCTTTGAGAGCAGAAATTGTGCTGTATTTCTCATCCCGCGGTTGGAAATTTCTGAAGGGACCTGGTTCTCCCATCCCTGGAGAAAGTTTCCTGCAGTTTTGGATGTAGTTCCCAGAGTGGCCACTAGAGAGAGTGTGGACATCACTGCAGAACAATCCAGGCTCGCGCGCGCGCGCGCGCGCGTGCGTGCGTGTGTGTGTGTGTGTGTGTGTGTGTGTGTGTGTGTGTAAGTACTAGATGAAGGGTAGGAGGGAGGCTTCTATACTGCACCTAAGAGACAACTACTGGAGCGGACAGGGGATCCACCCAGTTCAGTCCTAGAGCAGTGGGATCCAGGATACACTCCCCAAAAGGGTCCTAAGACCCCCAGATTTCCCCCCACAACTCAGGGCCCATGCTCCTTGGTTTTTCTGCTCCTACTTCTTGCCTCTGACCCTCCAACCTTCCTCTTCCATGCCTCATCTGCACGCTTAACCTTCCCGTGCATAATTATTTGCACTTTCCTGAATGGGTCTTGCTCTACCATACATCCGGGCCTTTATGCATGCTGTTTCCCAAGCTAGAGATGACCTCAGCCTCTGGTTGCTCCATCAGGCAGACTTTTCTTTCACATACTCCAAGAAATCCCCCAGACTTGGCTCCCAGACTGACCTTGCCCCTAAGTGTTGTAATTGTTCACTGTTCCGCCTCCTGGACAGGACCAGCCTACAGGAGACATCAGTAGATATGTGCAAAATTAATAAATGACTTAGTTCTTTTATGTGTACAATGCTCAGCATGTATGGGGCTACCCCAGACCCCTGGGTGCACCATGCCCTCCCTGGGCCTGACTCAGGGTCAATATAATATTTTCGCATACTGCTCCGGCAAATAAAGAAATGTGACACAGTGGAATGCATGAGACGTCGAGTTCAAGTCCTGGCTCTACCATCTGGTATATGACCTTGTGTGAGTGTTGTCGCCTCGCAGAGTCTTCCTTTCCTCTTTTGTAAAATGGGGATAATCACACTTCTGCACTGCCTCGTGGTGAGGATCAAATTAGACGATGCATGTGAAACACCCAGCATTAGTCAATTAGGAGTCCTCCTCCCCCACCATGAACTTGGAAATAAAATTGCCCTCTGAGTCTTAAGCCAGTAAAATCCACGCATCACAGAGAAGAGCCAGGTGGGGGAGTGAATGAGGCGAGAGATGGTTTTGTAAACGACTGAAGAGTTTTGTGAACGGTGCAAACCGCAATCAAGGTGACCCGCCTGTAATCTCAGGGAGGCAGGGCGAGGATGTGATTGAAATTGAGAAAGCAGAAGCCTAATCAATTGCATTGTGCTCTATCTGAAGGGAACAGAAGGCTGCACAGAAAAGGGGGTGCAAGGGAGAATTCATTTAGCTGCTTCAGAGGGAGAGACGAGGAATCAGAAGACACAGGGATTCCAGGCTCCGGAGGCTCTGGTCTCTGCAGATGGTTCACTGCCCTGCTGGGCCTTCATTGAAGCCAGATGGGCATCCAGGTACCAGGAATAGCCCTATAAGACAGACAAGAATATCCTGGTCCCAGGAAAAGACTACAGAGACTAAGAGCACTGATTTTGGAGTCAGAAGACTTGGTTTAAGCCCCTGCTCTGCAACTTCTGCTCTGCAAACCTTGAAAATGCTGATTTACTTCACTGTGCCTTAGCTTCATTATTAGCAAAATGAAGGTACAACGGGCTTCTCTGCATAGAGTTCTGCGGGGATTATATGGCAGCATGCACTTAGCAGGATGCCTGGCACAGAATAAACAATTTGTAAATGGTAGAGACAAAGAGAGCTAACAGGTATTGAGCATTTTATTGCTATTTCGCAGATGAGTTAATTGAGGCTTGGCGAGATTAATAACTCGCACAACTTCACACAGCTAGTGAGTGGTGGAAGCAGGATTCACACCAGGCAGGACAGCTCCAGGGCTGTGCTCTTATCTGCTTACTCCTTGGCAGGTAGAAACACTGGCCTCTGGCTTATACCTCAGGCTCTTGTGAGTTTTTTTGGGCAGAAACTATGGCCCTCAGGAAGCCTTAGCCACTGAGAGTGTGCAGACAGAGCTAAGGCTCCCACCCCTATGACAATCTTTCCAAAGAGCCATTTGGTCTCTCTCCATATTATTTCTCCCATTTATCAGCCCCCAGTACGGGGCTGGGTACAGGGAACTCTCAATCTGCACTGACCACCTTGTCCCCCTTTCCTTTAGGCCACTCAACATGGGGGGTGGGGTCCCAGGGAATCTTTCTACCAATAACTAGAGGAGGGAGGATCTCTCCCTCTCTCTCTCACACACACACACATACACACACAGGACAGAGCCTAGAGGCAACGAGGTCTAGTAGAAAGACCAAGAGCTTTGGTGTAAGACCTGGGTTCAAATCCCAGCTCTGTCACATACAGATATGTGACCTTGGTACATCATATCACCCCTGATCCTCAGTTTTCTCATCTACAAATGGGGCTAATCATAGAACTAGGCTCAAGACTGGATTAAATGAAAAGATGGATGTAAACACATCTGACATTCAGCAGACACTTAATAATAAATGAGTTACTATCACTACTATTTTTCTCCCCTGCCTGTCTATGAACTCCTCCAGGGCAGGGACGGATCTTATTCGTGTTTGTGTTCCCAAGGTCCTGCTTAACAAAGAGTCAATGCTTCACAGAGTCATGCTTAGTAATTGTTCACCAATTGCAGCAGTGAATCCCAGACTCCCAGACTCCTTCCCTGTCCATTCCCTTATTAAGTCAGAAGGTCAACAAACATTTCCCGGCAGGAGAGGTGGGAATCCTTATTCTCTGCTCCTCGTTTCCACATGGAGGCATGTCAGCTGCCAGAGTTTCTCAAAGGGGGAGTGGGGGTCAGACAATTTGCCATTGCACAGGTGCATTGTAGGTTGTTTGGCGTCCCTGATCCTGGCCCCCTAAATGCCAGTAGGAGCCCCCAGCCATTGTGACAAACAAAACTGCCTCCAAACCTCTCCAAAAGCTCCCTTGGGGGCAGAACTCCTCTAGGAAGATCCAACAGGCTAAACTAACCTTCAAGTCTCTCCCTTTTGCTCCCCTCCCTCTGTCCTTTTTTGGGGAATCTGACAGCTGTAGAGGGTCCACTGTAGCCTTCTTGCCTGCCCCTGTTGAGGGAGGCCTAAGGTTGTCCTGTTGTGACTGCGATGAATGGTAAATCTGCTGAAATCAGGTAAAGAATTAGCAAAACCATTGTGCACAGATTGAAGGCTATATCAGTATCAATAAAGGGACATTTTGATATATCTCCAATTGCCTGTCTTCTCTATGTACCTTTCAACTCATCTTCAATTCACATGGGGATGAGCAGTGAGACTTTTGGGAGTCCTAAAACTCCACACCTTGAGTGCCCTGTGCTTGCTAGGCATCAGGGCATTCTCTCATTTCCCCTGCTGCTCGAAATAGCCCCACCTGTCCTGTTCACCTCCCATTGACCACCATCCCTCCCAAAGGAAGGTTCAAGGGAATTTCATGGCTCAAGGATTCATATTGTTATTTTCCTTATTTATAAAATCAATAAACACACACACACACACACACACACACACACACACACACACACACTATTGAGAGAGGTGGCAAACCCTCAGCAACCCTCACCCTCAAACGTGTGTCTTGGCCCCAGTCTTGGACCACAGCATCCACCCAGCAGGAAAGGGCTCCAGCAAAGACCTTCTGTTTTTGTAACTCACAGACACAAAAGATTGACAATAGGAGGCAAATTCTTGGCACCTGGACCAGAGTAGGATGATAGGAGGGTAGGGAGATAGGTGAGGGGAGAGATATACAGTTTTATAAATAACTAGACAACATCTGAGCATTTGAAGGAGGTGAGGAGAGAGAGGCTAGTGGCCATGTAGGGGCCCAAGTCAGAAGGGGAGAGCTAGTGCTTGGGGCTGGAGGGGGGTGAAGGATGAGCTCTGAGCTTCCATTTGTCCCATCTGTAAAATGAGTGGGTTGCCCTAGATGGTGTCAGAGCACCCCAACTCCTCTGACATTCTAAGACTCTATAAGGTTCTAAGCCTGAGGGCTTTGGGACAAGAGCCCTGGGGATTGGCAAAGGCTGGTGGGCACCGCCAGAGATGTGGTTGATGTCTGAACAGGCTATGTATGATCCCCAGGCTGGTACTGTGGTTCCGTGGAGGTGAAGTAGTCCTCCAGGAAGGACTGCAGGTACTCGAAGGTAGGCCTCTCCTCTGGATCCAGACGCCAGGTCTGCTCCATGACCTCATACAGGGACACTGGGCAGCCTAGGGGGCATGGCATGTGGTAGCCGTGCTCCACCTGTTCCAACACTTCCCGGTTATTCATGCCTGAAAGGTGAGGCACCATCAGTCAGAAGGCCCGGCCCCTCCCAAAGGGGCAGGCAGGAGGAAGCCTTTCCCCTTGGCCACTCCCCCCAAATCCCTGGCAAACCTGGGTAGGGGACTCGGCCCTTGCTGATGAGTTCAGTGAGCAAGATCCCAAAGGACCACACATCTGACTTGATGGTGAATCTGCCAAAGATGGCAGCCTCTGGGGCCGTCCACTTGATGGGGAACTTGGCCCCTGGAGAGGTTGGGGAGAAGGGAAAGTTAGCGAGGAGGTCCCTGGGAATAGCTGGGTTAAGAGAATGGGGACTTTAGGAATGGGGATCTTGGGGACCCTGAGCGCAGAGATCTCTGGGCATAGCAGAAAGGAGCTGGTACCTAGTCAGCACCTACTATGTGTCTGGTGTAGTGATGGGCACTTTCCAAATCATTGTAATAATTCTCATAATAATGACAGCTAGTACTTGTCTAGCCCTTACGATGTGCAGGCACTGTGTTAAGTGATACACGTGCATTAACTCATTTAACCCTCACAAAAACCCCGCAAGGTAGATGCTATTATTACTCCCCTTCTACAGATAAGGAAAAGGAGGGACTGAGTAGTTAGGTAACTTGCCCAGATCACACAGTTAATAAGTGGTTGGGATTCATACCCAGGCATTCTGGCTACAGAGTTCACGCTATTACACTCTATTGTCTCTCATTTAAGAATTATAGCCACTTGGTAAATGTCTGCTGATTTACTCTTGTCTGAATATTTTCATTTTACAAAAGAGAAAAGGCAGCTCACAGAGGTTAGGTGACTTGCCCAAGGCCACATGGCTGGTAAGTGGCTGACCTAAGATTTGAACTCAGAATTGCCTCTCACACTACATCAGGATGGGGGTGTCCTAGATGATTCCGGGTGAGGAAGGGTTTCTGAGCATGTGGGGCCCCATGGCAGCCCCTTGCTGCATTAGGAGCTCTTGGGAGGTGCGGTGAGGTGGGGCACCTTGTTGGGGGTTGTACTCGTCATCCTCGATGAGGCGGGCCAGCCCGAAGTCGGCGATCTTGCACACCAGCCGCTCCCCCACCAGGATGTTGGCTGCCCTCAGGTCACGGTGGATATAGTTCATGCGTTCCATGTAGGCCATGCCCGCAGCTACCTGGGGGGCCAAGGTGTGCAGAGATGGGAGCTCATGGGGACTCACAGCACCGTGGCCTGCATGAGGGGCGAGGGGCCATTTGAAAACCCACTTTTCAGATGAGGAGACTGAGGCTCAGAAACGGTGCCTTGCCTCAGTTCGCACAACTGATATGGTGGGCGGGGCCGCACTTCTGGGGCTAGGCTAGGTGTTCAAAGGTACAGGGATCCGTGAAAGGTTAACAGGAGGTAGTTCTGGGAGTTAAAGCGTGCTGTCCAGTGTACCTGGGCTGCCATGTCCACCAACTGGGGCAGGCTCAAACCCTGACCCTCCCGGTCCTTGAGGAACTCCAGCAAGCTACCTGGAAAGAGGAATCCAGAAAGTCAGCAGCAAGACCCTACTCCTAGCTTCAGGCCCGCCCTCTCTCGCTTGGCCCCGCCCCTATCCGGAATCATCTAACCCAGTTGGCCCCGCCCCCTTCTCCCAGCGCCCTCCCCCTCACCTAGATCCGCCCCGTCTCGGGATCCCGCCCGGATGCCTCAATCTGTCACTGGTCTCGCCCAGGCCCTGCTGCCAGACACCGACTCTACACATCTCGTTTCTTCTCTTCCTCGGTCCCCCTAGACAGGACCTACTCAGACTCCGCCCCAGACCCTCCCTCGTCACAGATTCTGCGTTCGTTTGCCCAAGCCCTGCCTCCACCCGCACGACGGAGGCCCCGCCCTCTGCCCCCTGTCTACCTTGGCTCCGCCCCCGCCCCAGCACTCCTGTTGTTTCCCACATTCCGACCCCTCACTAGGACTCTGCCCATTGTCCCTCGTCCCCTCACAGATCGCCGCCCAGGTCCCCAGCGACACCCACCCTAACTTCACCCCAAATCCCTCCCGCCCAGCCTCCGCCTGACCCCGCCCCTCACCGTGGCACATGAACTCTGTCACGATGTAGATGGGCTCTTCGGACACCACGGCATACAGCTGCACCAGCTTGTCGTGCCGCAGCAGCTTCATGACCTGCGCCTCCTCCAGGAAGGCCTTCGGGGACATGGTGCCCGGCTTCAGAGTCTTCACTGCCACTTTTGTGCTGCCGTTCCACGTGCCTGCCCGGCGGCCGCGTCTCATCAGGACCCGCTCCCCACCAGCCCAGGCCCGCGCCCCGGCCCCTGGCCCCCGGTGCCCGGGACCTCCGTACCCAGCCACACATCCCCGAAGCAGCCGGTGCCCAGCCGGCGCTCGAGCGCGATGGAGCTGCGGCTGATCTCCCAGGCGTCCTTGGCCAGGCCCAGCGTCTGCGGCTTCATGGTGGTGCAAGGCGCCGTGAGCAGGTGGCACAGCCCGTCATTCACCTCTGGGGGCGGGGGGATGGAGGTCACGGGCAGGCCAGAACGCCCACCCCAGGACATTCCTCATTCCACCCAGCCCAGCGCCAGACCCCAAGATTAGTTATAAAGAACTAGACCCCAGGTGAGGTCCCAGGCCAGGAAGGAAGGCAACCTAGTCCCCTGAGTAGGTGGACATGTAGGTGCCCAGGGAAGGGGAGGGCACCCAGAGGGAGAGATGATCTCTGTCAGCATTGGGGGCCTTCCTGTAAGGAATAGGAGCCTTCCCACAGGAGGTGGCCTCCAGCTGGGCCTTGAAGGATAAGGTGGGATTCTGACAGGTAGAAATGGGTTTAGGGATTCCAGGCAAAGGTGTGGACCCCATCTTTGGCCTAACCAATCAAGGCAGAAACCTGGGCATTGACTCCCACCTTCCCCTCAACTCTGCAGCCAGTCCTCCACCAAGTCAGGCCCATTCTGCCTCCTTGCCAGCTCCCAAATCCGCTGTTTCTCCTGACTGCACTGCTACTGATTCAGTCTGGCCACCATCACGTCTCAATAGACAATGGCCACTGTCTCCTAATGGACCCCTCATGCTGCCTTGCCCGCTGGCATCCAAGTTCCACCCAGCAGCCAGAGTTTCTCACCAAGGTGCAAACCAGCCTCTTGTCACTCCCTGCTCAGGGCCCTGTGACAATGGCTTCCTGCCTGCCCACAGGACAGTCCTGGTGTCTTGGTGGGGCATTCAGACCGCACAAACGCTCACTAAACTTTCCACAGATTCAAGACTGGAGGCAAGAAACTGGCCAATTCCCGGTTCAGTCATCAGGGGGCGCTGCTGGGCCGTGTCCTCGCGAATCCCACAGAGCAGGATCCAGGCCTAGGAAGCCCCATACTTGGGTTCTAGTCTTGGCCCGGCCCCTATGGCTTTGGTAGACCCTTCCATTCTCCGGGCCGCGGTCTCCCCATCCGGACAACGCATCAACAAGTTGGTTCAGGGATCTGAAGCGTCTGCCCTCACCGATGTAGTGCTGCACCAGCTCCTGCACCGAGTCGAACTGGGCCCGCGTGGTGATGTAGTAACCGCCCGTGTCCAGCTTGCGGATCTTGTAATGCTTCACGTGATCGCCTCTGGTCTGGTCCCAATCACGGATGGACAGGGAGTAGGCGCCTGCGGTGAAGGATCGCTTTGGAAGAGGCCCGAAAGGCTGGGGACTCTAAGTTGGACAGCGGCATCCCTAGAACCCGGTCCCAGTCTTAGCTCTGCCCCTCAAACCCGGTCCCAGCCTTGGCCATGACTAAGTACCGCCCCCTCTCCCCCCACCCCCCACCCCTTAACGCTACCCCTCTACTGAGATGAGGCCCAGCTTCAGTCGGAAGGAGCAGGACCTACAGGCTGTAGAACTTGAGGCTCCTGTCCATGCCTGTCGAAGCGATGAACTTGGCGTGGTGCCCGAAGGCCACCCCGGTGGTCAGGCCACTATGCTCTGAGGAGAGAGACGAGAGGCAACTGTGAGAAGGCTTTTCCTTTTCAGTCTGAACACTGACCCCTAATAACAAGCTACCAACACAACCAGTCCTCCCGCAGTCGGTGCTGATCACACGGAGAGACTATACACTCTTGCGGGCAGGATTCCACTCTGACCTGCTCACCGTGCACCTCCAATGCCTCCCTCAGTGCCTGGCACAAAGCAGGCACCCCATCTTTCACTGGTGGATGAATGAACAAAGCAACGTCAGTCTTCCTTCTCACCTGAGCTTTCTGGGCAACTGTGATTCAGATCAGGAAAAACCTTCGTGTTCAGCTTGTTGATACATGTTTAGCTCTAACTCCTTGCTTACAACTGGAATAGTCCATTAGCTTGGTCTATCTAGCTCATGAGGTTCCACTCCAGGGTACAGGGCAGGGCTGGGTCAGGGCTGGGCAACACGCCTCATGGGACTCAGGAAATTCATGAACATCAGGACAAGCTCCTTCTAGATTGAGGATCACACCTGGAATCAACCAGCTCCTCACTAAAAAGCCAACACTGTGCTTTCCGCCTGCCACCCTACCTAACTCAGCTCCAAATCAAATCACCAGGTCCAGTGCAGGGTTCAAACCAGTGGGCCATACAGTCAGAACAGACACCTTTAAACACAGACACATTGAGCAGGGCTCAGGAGAACACGGGCATGAAAGAAGTATCTTGTATCCTGCCCACAACCTGCTAATGAGGATGAAAATTTCATCAACAAAGAGTACAGCAGCCCCCATTAGAGAGAGCATCAGGTCCCCTGTTACCATGCATGCCACCTCCATATCACTATGTGTCCCACTCTGCAAGACAGTGACAACATTCCCATTTTAAAGATGAAGGAGCTAAAGCTCTGAAAGGAAAGGTCATGTGGCTGGGGCCACATGACTGTCAGAAGGCCAGAAACCCTGTTATCGCTGTCTCAGCATCTCATACTTTTCTAATCTAGCACTTACACTTGCAATTAAGTAAGTATTTGTGAAATCATCCTACATCTGCCTTCCTAAGCTAACTATAAACTCCATCAGTGCCAAGAATCCTTCTGTCTTATTCACTACTTTAATCCCACAAGGGACTAAGACACAATATTGAATAAGAACAGCAGCAAATCCTTACTACGTGCCAGACACTGTTCTAACCTGCCTGTATACAGAGGGTCCCCAACCTAATGATGGTTCGACTTACAATGGGTTTGTCAGGACGTAGCCCTATCGTAAGTTGAGGAGTATCTTAAGTTGATGGTTCAACTTAAGACATTTCGATGTTACAAGGAGTTTATGAGGTATTAAGTGCATTAAAATTTGTTTATCAGGATATAGCCCCATCATAAGGAGAGGAGCATCTGTGTGTATTTTCACCACAACCCCACTGAGTATGCACTATTACATTCCCATTTTCCTGAGGCTCCAGAGAGGTTAAGTAATGTTGGGGCTCAGAAAACAATACCTACTTTGGCATGCTGAGTGCTTTGAACTAAAGGCGAACCAATGTCTCTCACCCCTCTTTCTCTTCTCTGACTAAGGAACACAGCTGTCATGAATCCCTTTCCTGGGAGTCTCACCGACCAGAAAACACTAACTGGTATCACAAGGAAGGAGACTAGAGGTTGGACACCACATCCAGTATATGTCACAGACTATCACCTATTCTTCTGAGACAAATTTGTCTCCGAGACAAATTT